TCTTTGTTGACACTTATTATTGTCTGTATTATAGCCATTTTATTGGGTGTTAATTATCCTCCTTATGGTTTTCATTTGCATTTCTCTAATCACAATAATGTTCATATTTCCACGTACTTACTGACAATTTGTATATCTTCTTTGTAGACACGTGTATTTAAATCCTTTGTCCATTTTAAAAACTTGATTGTCTATTATTGACTTTTAAGAGTTTCATCTTTATTCTGAAATATACCCATCACACAGATAATTTAAAAATTTTTTACATTAATTGACTTGTCTTTTTATTTTCTTTATGTCCTCATTTGAAAAACATAAGTGTCAAAATGTTATCAAATGCAATTTATCTTTTTATTTCTTTCTCTAGAATGTGATTTTGGTGTAATTTCTAAGAAATTGTTACCTAGCTTATAAGTACAAAAATTGACTCTAATTTCTAAGAAATTGTTACCTAGCTTATAATTACAAATATTTACTCCATTATTGCTCTATAAGTTTTATAATTTTATCTCCTACAAACAATAAGAGATCTATTTTGAAGACTTTTGTGAATGGGTCTGATTTGAGTGAGGGGTTCAACTTTATCTTTCTGCAAGTGTATACAATTTTCCCAGCACAATTTGCTGAAAAAGCTGTCTGTACAAAAGACAGTGTTTTGTGTGTGTGTGTGTTTTTTTCTGGAAACAAATAGCTAGTCTTTGCCATACAGTATTTCTCCCTTATGTGAGCTCTCTTATGTCTGCTTAGGTGTGACTTCTGACAAAAGATGTTCTACATTCATTACAATGAGCCGTCCATATCCACAAGATCCACATTCATGGATTCGACAAATTATAGATCAAAAATATTTGAAAAAAAGAAAGTATGGCAATACAAAATATACCAAAAAAGTACAACTACTTATATTGTTTTTAATGTATTCAGTAATGTAAGTAATCTAGACATGATGTTAAATTGTGCAGCAGAATGTTACACAATAGATCACCACTTCATATAATACTTGAGCATTCACAGATTTTGGTATCTATGGAAAGTTTTGAAACCAATCCCCTGTGGATATGAATAGACAGCTGTACATTCATAGGTTTTGTCTTTTACATGAGTTCTCTGATGCATCCTGAAGTGTGCTCATGACTAGTAAGGCTTGGTTTCTGGTAGAAAGATTTTGTACATTCATTACATTTATATGGTTTCACAACTGTGTGAGTTCTTTGATGTACACTGAGGTCTGCTTTACTGTAGAAAAGCTTCCTATATTCTTTTCGTTCATCTGGATTCTCACATGTGTAAATTCTCCAATGCTTGCTGAGGTTTGACTTCTGATGAAAAGGTTTTCCACATTCATTACATACATAGGGCTTCTCATCTGTGTGAATCTCTGATGCATGCTTAAGATTGACTTACATTTGAAGGTTTCTTCACACTCATTGTATTCGTAGGGTCTTTTCTATGTGTGTTTTTCTTATGTTTATTGAGAGCCAAGTTATGGTAGATAGATTTTATACATTCTTTGTACTCATATGGTGTCAAACCTGTGTGAGTACTGTGATGTACATTGAAGTCTGATTTACTTCAGAAAACTTTTGAATATTCTTTTCATTCATATGATTTCTTACCTGTGTGAATTCTCTGATGTCTGGTAAGGTTTGACTTCCTGTGAAAGGTTTTCCCACATTGACTACATTCATATGGTTTCTCACCTGTGTGAATTCTCTGATGTCTGGTGAGGTATGACTTTCTGTGGAAGGTTTTCCCACATTGACTACACTCATATGGTTTCTCACCTGCGTGAGTTCCCTGATGTACACTGAGGCATGATTTACTGGAGTAAGTTCTTCTACATTCTTTACATTCATATGGTTTCTCACCTGCTTGAATTCTCTGATGCTTGCTGAGGTTTGACTTCTCATAAAAGGTTTTTCCACATTCACTACATTCATATGGTTTCTCACCTGTGTGAATTCTCTGATGCCTGCTGAGGTGTGACTTCCTGTGAAAGGTTTTTCCACACACACTGCATTCATATGGTTTCTCACCTGTGTGAATTCTCTGATGCCTGCTGAGCTGTGACTTCCAGTGAAAGGTTTTTCCACACACACTACATTCATATGGTTTCTCACCTGTGTGAATTCTCTGATGTTCATTGAGATTTGATTTATGGTAGAAAGTTTTTTCACATTCTTTACATTCATATGGTTTCTCACCTGTGTGAGTTCTCTGATGTTCATTGAGATTTGATTTATGGTAGAAAGTTTTTCTACATTCTTTACATTCATATGGTTTCTCACCTGTGTGAGTTCTCTGATGTACATTGAGGTGTGATTTACAATAGAAAGTTTTTCCACATTCTTTACATTCATATGGTTTCTCACCTGTGTGAGATCTGTCATGTAAGCTGAGGTGTGACTTCCGGCTGAAAGCTTTCTTACATATTTTACATTCATATGGTTTCTCACCTGTGTGAATTCTCTTATGCTGGTTGAGGCCTGACATCGCATGAAAGGTTTTTCCACATTCTTTACATTCATATGGTTTTTTACCTGTGTGAATTCTCTGATGCCTGCTGAGATTTGACTTCTCATGAAAGGTTTTTCCACATTCACTACATTCATATGGTCTCTCACCTGTGTGAATTCTCTGATGCTTGCTGAGGATTGAGGACTTGTGAAAGGTTTTCCCACAGTCATTACACACATATAGCTTCTCCCCTGTATGTGTTCTCTTATGGATTGTAAGGGGTAATTTCTTCATGAATGATTTATCACATTCACTATATTTATAAGGTTTCTGTTCTGTGTGTATTTTCTGCTGTTCAGTGAATTCATAATTTTCACAGAACTTTCTCCAACATATGTCAAACTGAAAAGCTTTCTCTAATACTGGAATTGTCTCTTGGGCAACAACATCTGACTTATGAAAGACTTTCCCATAATCAAATTTACAGGATGTCTCTCCCACATACACTTTCTTCTGTTCCAATAATATTGGCGCTGTGTTGAAGGATTTCCATTGTCCACTATATTCAAAAGCCTGCTGCTGAGCATGAATCTTGGAATGCTGATTAAGATGCTCACAATGTTTCCACAAGTTCCCAGTTATATTACCCTCATCAGATTTCTCTCCAGCATGCATCCAATCAGCCTCCCTAGGAGGAAGTGCATTCCAACATACATTGAACTCTTTGCACCTCATTCCTAAATACTTTTCACTATTTATAATTGAATTTGAAATATGGTTTGAGCTCAAATGAAATGCTTGTTCTATTTCAACTTTCTCCTCAGTTGATGTATTGCTGTTGGCAATTACAACATCCTGCAAATGTGTATCATGACGTTCTTGGCTTTTTGTAATTAGCGCTTCAACTATCTGAACATCTAAAATAAGAAAAAAATACCATATCTATAAGCCACCCATAAGTATTGCTTAAATGAGCATGTAAAGGTAAAGAAGTTTTTTCATATTCTCATGGCATAGGATTGTATAAAAGTGAATAATGGAAATTGGATTTATAAGTATACATGTTTCCTACATACTACCATAATGTAATAAATTATATTAAAATATTTCCTAATGTACAATTTTCTTTCTTTAGTTTTCATTCATAAGAAAATATTTGGTAAAACTTTCACCTACACTTGGTCATAATTTTCAACCAAGTGCTTATCATCTGACATTTGTTTACCCTATTTTATTTCTCTATTTTTATAACAACAGTGCGAATCACATGGTGCTTTTTTCCCTTCTTATTCTGATTTGAGTATGGTAATACTTTATTTCATCAGGTACTTTCGGGTTCAGCAGGAAACCAATTTTCTTTCCTTTAAACAGAAATTTGGCTTAGGTTCAGAATTTTGCCCCATTGTTCATTTAGTTTTCATTCTTCCCTACAAAAAGGCTATAGACATATGAAAATTTTTCAGATAAAACATCTCCTTTCCCACGCAGTAGATAAAGACATCTTACTACAAATTTCTCATTTAACATCACTGCCTCTGCTTCTCAAAAAGCTCCATTTTACCACACTGTGCACCCCTTTTCTGCAGGTTTAACATGTGGTTGTCAACCCAGGATGTACCCACAATATTTCAATTTCTATTTAGCTTCTTCTGAGTTTAACTGGCATTCTACCTCCATTTTCTGGTGCACACACCTCTGCTTTATAATTTGCTGCTTCTGACGACTTTTATTTTTTGCAATGAAGTTTCAGTTGTGTCCTATTTTCATAAAAAATAAAGTCTTGTGTGCATTCCTTGTTCTCTTTGTTGGTTTAGAATAACATTCACAAAGAGAAGGGAACATGCTAAATTCAAGTTCCAGTACTCTACAAAAAAATCTGAGCCCTTCAACATAAAACTCTTGCTTCACTTGATGTTGGGACCCACAATCTCCTGAATCTCCTTCCAAGTCCAGTAGCTCCTTTCCAGGTGCCTATGCTGTGTCTTTAACAGCTTCATACTTTCTGATTCATGGTACACAATGCTCACGTCTGGACCTCTTTGCTCATTCTCTTATCAACACCCTAGGTAACCTCCTCTATAATTCTGACTTTAAAAATCAGGTGTAAGGCACCAATTTCCAAATTTGTAGCTCCAATAGTGATGTCCTCTCTAAACTCTCAATTTTATACTTATGCAAGTATAATATTTCAAATCAGGAAGAGTTAAGTTGAACTTATGCTATGCCAAAGTAAACAATAATCTTCCTAGAACTGCCCAATCTGGATATCCTTCTTAAATTCTCATTACCCACTTTTCTGTCTCTCTCACTGTGGTTACATATTCCTCATGATTCTAATACAAATATTTAATGTGTATTATTATCTTGTTTCTCATCAGAATGTGAACCGTATGAAAGAGACATTATTTAGATTATTGCTGTTTTAAGTACAACTATATATAAAATAAACAGTACTTAAAACACACTTAATTATGATGTAGTTAGAAAAATATGTGTATAAATAAATGTTTGTGCTATAATTTAAATGTTCCCCCAAACTCATATTGAAGCTTGATCATCATATTAACATTATGAAGAGTGTGGAAAATCTAACTATGGTATTTGAACTGTAAGGCTTTGAGGAAGTTATTAGATAGTGAAGACCATGCCTTTATAAATGCATTGATCTGTTCATGAAATAGTGAGTTAATGAGTTATTGGGGGTATATTGGTGGCTTTAAACAGCATGTGGACACACTTCTGCCACTCTCACCTTGTGATACGCTGCACCAACTGTAGACTCTGCTGAAGAGTCTCCACAAATGAGAAGACCCCCACCAGATGTGACAACTCAACCTTGGACTTGTCTGCCTACATAATGATAAAAAATAAATTTTGTTTCCTTATAA